TAGCTAAATAATTCAACTCTAATAGTCCAGGACATTGAAACTCGCAGTTGTTGCACAGACCGTAACTTTGACTCTAAGGCTGCGTTCATACTGACCCCAAGTCCGGGAACACTTCCAGCACAGTGCTCGAACTGAACTGCTGTGCTGGAACTATTCCCGAATTTCGGGATCAGTATGAACGCAGCCTAATTTCCGTGTTATCTGTGTATATCTTCCCTCGCATGATCGTGCAGGACCAATCACCGCAGTTGAGGACAAAACTACGGAGTGGCGAGGATTTAAAATTACGTTTCGCGCGCTGCCAGCCGCAATGGTAATACCATTGTGTCTCGCAACGATTCAGCGTCATCAGCCTTCCTCCACTCGTCCAATTTCAAAGCGATTGGAATTAAGAAACGCTCGTTTTCGTTGTTTTCGTGCTCTCTACAGAAGCGAATTTTTGGGATTAGCGCATTGGATTACCTCAGATAAGCGACAATTTGTCTAGGTTAAAATTTGCAGAGCCTCTGCCTTTACAAATGGAATGCCCATGAGCAATGCTCAACTCAAACATCTCAGTTGAAACCTAGGTACTCAGATCTGCCTGAGCACAACCCATAATTTCTAATCTTTATGACAGTAGATTCTGATTCAGCTATTTCATTACTACACCGTCAAATGAAACAATGACTACCGATTCTAAAGTTTTGGAAGCTGTGGCGCAGGAAATCGAAGCAAACTGCAAGAATATGTTAGCTGTTGGCGGTGAGAACATGCTCCAATCGAAATTTTTTCACTGAGCTTTCATTCCTAGACCTACCCATAATATGTCTGCCATCTGCCCTTCTGGCCAAATTTTACGATGTTATTGCCACTTTTCCCTCAACAACTCTTTATTCTGTAATAATTTCTGTTGCTGTTAGTCTTCTAGTCGTTATTCTGTGCACTAGACGGCTAGTACTATCGCTCTTAGCAGTTGCTGTTGTTTCTGGTGTTATACTTTGGACTATAGCCGTGTCCATTCTGACAGGTAAGTTACTCAAAATTTGCCCAGCTGATATTCCGAATCCTATCCTTCAGGCTGGGAACTGAGCGTTGTTGAATCGACAATCATAATTCTCACAATAGGTCTGAGTTTTGATTTCACCCTGCATATGGCTGTATCTTACCGAGATAGCAAGGAGATCTTAGTTGAAGACCGAATCGGGTTGGTATCGATTAGCACTGATAGTGACCATTCGTAAACGAAAGTTAGGTTATTCTCATTTTTTAGTTCATGTCTTTCATCGGCTGGTCGCGCATGTGTACTTGGTGCCACTACATCTATACTCAGTGGATTTCCTTTGATATTCGGGAACACTGCTGCTTTCACCCAGGTAATGTTTCCGTAAAGGGAGTTTATTCGACAAGCTAGCCAGGAAGCTGATGTTCGTTACCGCAATAGGCGGTACGTGCGAAATTTGACATTTTGCGCTCCTTGATTGTATTCATAAAGGAATGGGATTGTAGAGCAAGCTTACGTCATACAAGGTGCTTCAAAAGCAAGGATCAGCACAAGATGCATTCGAGGATTTCGGAGAAGTCCCCTTCGACATTGCAGGAATTACGATTAACCTTTTGTGGTTTTTGTGAAAGTACCGCTTATAATCTGCAGCGAACGATGAATAGATATAAGTGAAGAAGAAAAATAGGAAAAATGGGAAAATAGGAAATAGGAAAAATAGGAAAATTAGAGACAAATTAACAGAACGAAAAAAGGTTTTTTAAGTTATCAAGGCGTAGCAGGCAGAAGGGTCGGAAACTGGGTTAAGGTGAGTACCCATAAGTAAAGATT